AGTGCAGTGAGAAGACAAGAAATAAGTTTTGAGGGAGAGAAGGGCAAGAAGTCCAGGCAGGAAGTCTTCCTGGGGCCTCAGCAGGCCAGTGGGGAAGCTTGGAACTTCACACCAGTGCCACGGCGGGCAGTTTGGAGAACAAGCAGGTACACTCAAGCAGGCCAAGGGAACTTGCCTGAGTCGAGGGAGGAGGAGAGGTGGTCAGTGCCTCCTCCCTCAACTCCTGGGTCACCCAAGACCTGGGGCTCGTCCCCAGTCCCTAGGTTCTGGGTCCCTTTCTGCAATGCCACTCTGCCTGCTATACAAGTCACTGCAAATTAATGTGCCTTTGAGAGGCAATAACACCCTCTTAGACTGAAATGTTGGCAAAAGACCAATCATTTTTCATCTCTTGATTAAAACGTCTAAGGAAGAAATTGGAAATAATTCAGCAAAGGAAGCTCTCTCTTGGAGCTAGAGAATGCAGGATACATTGAGAGGTGGTGGTAAGAGGCAGTGCAAGAGGCAGCGCTGCCCTCTCTGCCTAACAGAGCAGCCACCTCTGTCCCCACAGAAGTGACCGGGTCCACGGCGCAGGGGGGCTTCCTGGGGTACCTGGGGAGGCCATCAGAATACAACTGGCACATACATAGGACCCAGCGTCTCTCAAGCGCACCTTTGTCAGAGTGTTTGCTAGAACTACACATTTTTAGCCATTTTCCTCCCGTTGTGATCAGCGTGCCTGGCGCAAAACCAGAAAATCACCCCATTTAAACGAGGGTCTCTGGTGGTCCTGGCGACCTGGCAAGGAGCTGGCGCATATCACACTCTATTTCCTGGAGAGAGCAGAAACTCAGTCCTGAGGAGGTCTGGCCTAACTTACACACACCAACTCTTCTACCAAAATGAACATAAACAATGAACCAAACACGTTTTAAAAATTCTGTTCAGGAATAACAGCGAACTATCAAACAGGGTGAGGTCATTGAGCCAGTGAGATCACAGAAGAAAGAAATCACAGAGGTGAACTTCCTATTTGGCATAGCCATTTGCCTTGAAGCATTTGCTGATTAAGAAAAGCCTAAAAGCAATTAAATACCGGACTTCCGCCAAGATGGAGGTGTAGGTGGAAGCACTGTGCCTCCTCCCACAACCAAGTTTAAAAACAACAAAGTTTTAGCAACAAAAACACAGCCAAAACCACAGAAAATTGAACTTCACGGAAGTCTGACAACAACGAACCCTTTATCCAAACCGGTAAGAGGGGCAGAGCCAGCAGCAGAGCGGGGTCGGGCAGGAAAGATCCACCGGACTGACCCGGGCTCAACCCAGGCACACTGGCAGCCGTAGGCGGATCCCAGGTGTGGAGAAGTGGGTGGATCCACTGAGGGCGCGGGGTGGGGGACTCACTGAGGGCTGACCACGGTCACACATTTGCGCGCAGATTAACTGGTGAAGCAGGGAGTGGTGAGACAGACAGTGCAGGCCCCAGTGGCAGGAAGCAGCAGAGGGGACCACCATTGTCCCTCTCTGACCCCACCCCTACCTACAGCGTCCTAAACCAGTGACCTGGGTGGCCTCTCTCTGACCCACCCCCACCTACAGCATCACAAACCTGCATGGCCCCGCCCCGGTGAACAACTAAGGCTCTGCTCCTCATACGTAACAGGCACGAAAAGATAAAAACATGGCTCAAGAACAACTCAGAGCCCCAGAACCAATAAATCTAAGCAATGAAGAAATAGCCAAACTTTCAGATGCACAGTTCAAAATACTGGTGATCAGGATGCTCACAGAACTGGCTGATTTTAGTCACAAATTAGAGGAACATATGAAGGCTAAACTAATTGAAATGAAGGGAAATGCACAGGAAACCAATAGTGATGGAAAGGAAACTGGGACTCAAATCAAAGAAGTGGACCAGAAAGAGGAAAAAAATGACCAAACAGAAAAGAATGTAGAAACAAGAATTTAAAAAAATGAGAGGCTTAGGAACCTCCAGGACATCTTTAAACGTTCCAACATCAGAATTATAGGGGTGCCAGAAGGGGAAGAGGAACAGCCATGAGTGGAAAACTTATTCGAACAAATAATAAAGGAGAATTTCCCCAATCTGGCAAAGAAAATAGACTTCCAGGAAATCCAGGAAGCTCAGAGAGTCCCAAAGAAGTTGGACCCAAGAAGGAACACACAAAGGCACATCATCATTACATTAGCCAAGATTAAAATGAAGGAGAGAATCCTAGAAGCAGCAAGAGCTAAGGGGACAGTCACCTACAAAGGAGTTCCCATCAGACTGTCAGCTGATTTCTCAAAAGAGACCTTACAGGCAAGAAGGGGCTGTAAAGAAGTATTCCAAGTCATGAAATCCAAAGACCTACATCCAAGATTGCTCTACCCAGCAAAGCTTTCATTTAGAATGGAAGGGCAGATAAAGTGCTTCTCAGATAAGATCAAATTCAAGGAGTTCATCATCACCAAGCCCTTATTATATGAAATGTTAAAGGGACTTACCTAAGAAAAAGAAGATAAAAAAGATGAACAGTAAAAGGACAGCAAACTCACAGTTACTAAGAACCACACCTAAAACAAAAGCAAACTAAGAGGATAGCTAGATCAGAAGCAAAACCATAGAAATGAAGATCACATGGAGGGTTAGCAACAGGGGAGTGGGAGGAGGAGAAGGGGGGAGAAGGTACAGAAAATAAGTAGCATAGATGGTAGGTAGAAAATAGATTGGGGGGGCAAGAATAGTAGGGGAGATATAGAATCTAAAGAACTTGAGACAAGTGGTCATAAACTAAAGGGGGGGAATGGTGGGGGAGGGGTGTGCAGGGTGGAGGGGAATGAAGGGGGAAATAGAACAATTGTAATGCCGTAATCAATAAAAGGTATTTTAAAAAGATGAAAAAAAAAAGCTTAAAAGTTGTGCTTTTGTAGAAACTGATGAGTGTAAAGTCCAGGAGGAGGAGAAACAAAGGAGACCAGCAGCCCTTCACCCAGGGTTCCCCACCTTAGGCCAGGAACGCCGGCCTCTTCACACCTGCCCTACATGCGTGGGAGCGCTGGTAGACTTGGGCACCCGAGGGAGCTCAAATAGACTGAGCTGGTGGCCCCAGGACATGGGAGGGCTCACAGGAGGCTTGGGAAGAGAGAAGCCGGGAGTCCTTCACAGACGGCAAAGGGTTACCAGAGCGCAGGGCAGTGGAAAGAACGGGCTGTAAAATCAGAGAAGATCTGGTTCAAGTCCTCAGCACTTATTCAGAGCAGAACCTTGGCCTCAGTCTCCCTCTGGGAGAAATGCAGAGATACCCCCAGAGTCAGAAGGAAGTGCAAGTGCCAATATATGTAAATAAATGCAAAGTCACCATTGTGCACCTCCATTTCCCTGGCTGAATGCACTTCTGTGGGAGGACTTCAGCCAGAATAAGACTCCTGTCCCCTCCTGCCTCCCCTCACTGATGGGCCAGTTTAGAAACTAAGGCTGCTGGCTTCCACCCGCCCAGCTTTCTTTGGATCTGATGCTGCCACACAGTGTCCTCTGCCCCTGTGGGAAGGCCCGTGGGCATGCCAGCCAGCTGCGCCCACAATGCATGCAGGATGCGTGTGTCTAACACAAGAGTCCAGTTGAGGAAGCCTACATCTGAGACACATCCTCCAACCCTTTTATGAAGCTCATTCTCCATCTACCCTCCACCAAGCCCTGTGCCCTCTCTCAGGTGGTGTGGACCCTAGAAGGGCAATGCCTGCTGGTTCCCAGCAGAGAAAGCACTCCTCAAAAGCCTGCTGCATACCCACCCCCAGGACCAGGGTCCTTGCACCACACCTGTCAGAGCCCTTGGAGAGTCTATGTCCCCCTGAAGGGACACTGATCCTCCTATAATAACAACCCAGACAAACCAGAATTAGTCAGCAAATCAGCCTTCCATTGCAGTTATGCATCCTGATAGGCCCTGGAGGGTCTGGAGTTTTACTTCCACAAGCCTCTGCCCCCAAGGCTTGAGGTCCTCCCATTCTGTGGTACCACGGGAGCTGGGCACCCTCTGTGGAGAACTCCAGCCTCAGCCATCACACCATTTCTTCCTCCAAGAAAACCTCAGAGACCACGGGCAACACGCACAGGGGTCCATTCCTTTGTCAGGAATTCACAGGCTAGTGCTCTAAACTGGGGTCCTCAGGGAAACCATCATTTGGGCAGAGAATCTGGTCGTGAGCCAGTGGAAAAAGCAGCATGTAAACATGATTAAACCACAATACAATTAACTGAATTTCCAATGACCTCTGAGAGAAGAGAAAAAAACCGGGACCAAGAAGAACGCTTCTCAACGAAGACACCGTGCCTACACGTTTATCAGTCCATAAGGAGGGCGCGTGACTGACACGTCCTGACCAGCACACACTAGGTGGACTTTCTAAGTGAATGAGGCACAGACCACAGACTAGACAGAGATGGGGATGCATGGGGGGCCCACAGGAACCAGTGTTTCTGCGTGGATCCCATTGCTCTGCCCTGTCTCTGGGCTATCCCTGCCCCTAGTTCCTCATTGGGGTGCTCGTTTCCAGGATTCCAGCCTTGTCCTCAGCTTCTGCTGTGCCTTGGAGTGACAGAGTCATCATCACCTACATCATCTAGGCTGATTCTTCCCTTCCCAGCATCCTCTGCACAGTGACCACCTGAGTGGACCCCAGGGAATGGCCCCATTTCCAGGAGACCCCGCAGCCCCTCCCCCGGACTCTCAGCACCTGGGTCCCAGCCAGTGGCCTCTGCATCCGCCTGCACCGAGGCGAGGGGCAGGGCAGAGGTCTGTGAACGCAGCCCTTGGGTAGAACAACGCACGGTGCTGAAACTCAAACCAGCCCCAGCTCAGGAGATTCAGTTCACTGTCCCGCCAGCTCAGACCCGACCGAGTCTGCAGCTGAACCGACATCTCAGTGACCCTCAGGTGGAAGTTACACAGCAGACTTCCAACCAGCACAGTAACGGAAGCTGCTCCCTCATTTCTATACTACACTGTATTATAAAAAGCCAGTATTAGGTCAACTGATGTTTTTAATATGTTTTCACTTTTGTGCATAAAACATCAAATCATATGCTATTGTGCAAAGAATATAGATCCATGTTTTAAGTGAAAATAGCCTGTATTCAATTAACTCACCTCCAAAAAATTCCCAATCACTGTATGTCCAGATATCTACTGAAGTGCAGAAGTAATATTCTTGAGGAACTTTTTGCACAGGAAGCAAACACCACAAATCAAGGAACCATCGTGGAGCCTCCACATACCTGCCAGACCGAGCAGGCCCGTGGAAGGCCTCAATGACAGAGCGTCCACTCTGGAGGGTCCGCCTTCCTCTCACTCTGAACCAGAGCAGTTCCTCATAAATATGTAACTTAAACTGGAAAGCAAAAAGATCAACCTGTCACGATCACGCCAGGAAATTAAGCTCAAATCCTATGGCAATAGCCTCCATTTTAATTAATGTTCTACTGTTCAAAGTGTATTAATTTTTAAAGATGGCTCTATGTTAGGTATTTTATAATTACACTGGAAACAACACAGCCGTACTCCCGACAGTGAGCAGCTTCAGCCAATTTCTGACCAGGGAACGCACAGTCTGTGGCGCACTGCTTCTTCGGGACAAAACTCTGGTTATTTGGCTGCAGTTGGCAGGACTCAGGACACTGAGGCATCTTCATAAAGGACTTCATCTACCTTCATGTCATGTTCGTCCACAGGGACCTGTAGGCAGATCTGCTCCTTGAAAGCCAAGGCCATGGTGTAGGGCTTCATGTGCTGCTGCTGCGCACAGCGCTTCAGGTAGGCGTCGTAGTAGCCTTTGCCCCGTCCCAGCCGGTTGCCTTGCTTGTCAAACCCGAGACCCGGCAAGAAGATGAGGTCCAGTCCCCCTGCAGAGCAGAGGAGCACAGGCACAAAGGTGAGCAGTTTCTGAAAGACTGGCCACTCTCAAATCTGTCTCTTGATTTTAATGATATCTACTCCTCTGAATTCTAAGACAACACATGCCACTCTGGAAAAAATAGAAATGACTTACTACTCAGTAAGCCCATTACGTGCCTCTCCACTTCTTCACGTAAATAGGTACAAAAACATCACATTCCTGCCCAGCCACACCTTGCTTAAGAGGTGCTCCATGACAGAGCCTAAGAACTTACTTCTTTTTGCTTTAAGTGTCCAGGTGACTCTACATGCCTGCTAGGCTGGGGCCCTGGGGCCCCAGGACCATGACAACTGGAGGGGTGGGAAAGGGTCAGGAAGAAGCCAGAAGGGTCAGTGTTTTCTGTCAGGCAGTGGGAGCAGGGGCAGCTTATGAGGGGATGGAGCCACCTGCTCCACTTTCCCTCCCCTTGCTGAGGTGAGGCCAGGCTGTCACAGAGGGTAGGCTTTGCTCTACTCAGGGATATTCCAAAAATACAAGGTTGAGGCCCCATAACTGGGCCTCTACTTGACACCCCCAGGGTACCCGGGAACACAGGGACCAGAACTGGCCATGACATCATCAGGACCCAGCAGGCTGCTGGGGCGAGGCGGAAGGGAAGGTCTTGGAGGCTGTAAAGCCCTGACCTATGAAAGGTGTGGGGGTGTCACATGGGAGGGCGATGAAGGTTATGAGGTGGAGAACCTCCGTGGATGTGGGAGGCCCTGAAAGTGGTCCCCCAGCCTCTGGCAGGCAGTGTGACAGAACTCAAGTGCCACGTCACACGTCCAACCCAGGGCCTGCCCTCTGGCCTCCCTGGACTCACCACTCCTACAGCGTGGCTGGCAAGGCCACATAGGCTGGAAGCCACGGAGTCTGTTCTGAGCAGAGAGCCTCTGCTCGTAGCAGCTGCTCTGACCACCCGCGGAGCTGTGAGGGAACTCACTTTCTCTCCGGCTCCCAGCACACACCTGTCCACCCCTGCCTGCCAAAACCCAGCAGAGCACATCCCAGGTCACAGTCATGGCCTTCTCATGTAAACCTGCTGTCTGTTCCAATCCCACCTTGCTAAAAGGCCCTGGTCACCAGCCTTTCCCTTTCCTCACTGTCCCTGTCCTGCTCATCTTTCTCCCTTGGGATTAACAGTGGCTGTGCACTCAAGACTCTGCTCCCTCCTTGTCCTCTTTCTGCTGCAGAGCACACAGAGGCCTACAGTGCAGCTCCAACCTTCTCCTGGGCTTCTTGCCTCCTTAGACTGTGGCATGTGGTTTGCAAGGTCCTGGAGAGGAGAGATGTTGAAGGTCAGTGAACATAAAATATTGCATGTGTCATAACCATCTCAAACCGGGGCAGCAGGCTTTGCCAATTTCTCAAAAGCAAGAGTCAACAAGAACTAGAGATGTCAGCAGAGAGAAAGCCATTCTGGCTGGGTGGTCAGGGAGGACTCGTGGGACTCTGACTTGACCTGGATTGTTAAGGATGTGTTTAAGTTGAGTCTGAGAACATTTTAGAAACCGAGGGAACAGTGGGAAAAGCAGGCTGGTGAGATGGGAATAGCAGGACAGAGAATGAGCCTGAGGAGTGGCAGGAAATGTGAGTTCCTCAGACAGGGGGATGGAGGTTTGAGAGGTGAAGTCAGAGAGACCCCTACAACTAGCTCAAGAACAAAAAATCAAATAACCCAATTTAAAAGATAGACAAAATACTTGAACAGACATTTCTCTAAAAAAGGCCAAAAATAATGTCCATGATAAGACGCTCAATGTCAGAAATCATCAAGAAAATGTAAATCATTACCTCAGTGAGTTATCACTTCATACCTGTTAGAATATTCATTAAAAAAAAACCCAGAATATAATAAATATTGGTGAGGATGTGGAGAAACGGGACCCCTGTGCACTGTCCCTTGAATGTAAAAAGGTGCAGTCACTGTGGAAAACATTGTGGAGATACCTCAAAAAATCAGGAACAGAATCACCAACAATCCCACTTCTGTGTATTTATCCAGAACAACTGAAGTTGGGGCCCTGAAGAGACACCCGCACACCCATATTCCCAGCAGCACCACTCACAATGGCCAAGAAATGGAAACAACCTAATGTTCTCCAACAGAACAAACAAATGAACAGAATGTGGTGCACACGGTGGAATATTATTCAGCCATGAAAAGGTAGTCCTGCCGCATGCCACAACACAAAGACGCGTAAGCACACCAGGCTGAGTGGAACAAGCCAGCTACAGAGGGACAAATGCTGCTCAACCCCACTCATGTAAGGAATCGGCAGCAGCCAAACTCAAGAGAGTGGAATGGGAGTTGCAAGGGGCTGGGAGGAGGCAACGAAAAGCTGCTGTCCACCCAGTGTGAGGTGTCAACTGTGCAAGATGAAAAGGGTCAGAAGCGATCTGCTATACTTTCCGTGACTACAGTCAACACCACTGCACTCTGCCATTAACTCCGAGATACACGGGTGTGGATCGGGAGGCAACACTACAGGACAAGAGAATGACAGAAGGACTACCTTGCACTGCTGCCTGTTCTGAGTGATCACTGTGACTGTTAGGCAAGAAGAGGAGCTTTGAGGTTCTCAGGCGATGGATGAAAGGCTCTGAGGTGGCCCTTCACAGGCAGGGGTCCTGAAACCCTATTTGGGGCATTGCTTTGGGATCCCAATCCACAGGACTGCTGCTGCTGCTCCCCCTGGCTTCAGGTCCTTAAAATCCCTCTGAGTTCTGCTTCTGCTATTTGGTGACTTCAGGTATTTTCCTGAAACTTGTTACTATACCCCTTACAGACTTCAACCATCCGCTGTCACCCTTGAAGTTCTTTCCATGCCACCACTGTCACCACATGCATGTCGCCCCTCCCCCACGTGCACACGCCTGGGCTCTGCACCTGCCTAACACCGTGCTGGACATCTGCCCTCCCCAAAGGCAATGACAGGCCAGCAGGCCTGCAATCATGCACAGGCCTGACAAGCCCCCTGGCACATGCTGGTCCCACCCTGACCCGCCCCCACTCACAGAGGCTGACCCAAGACCCCTCGGAACACACTGTAAAGTCAAAACTCAGCTGAGGGACAGGATAAAAACTCCAGGCCACGGGTGTGCTTTGTAAGCCTCTAGCACAGCTCCATTTTCAGACCACCACAGGCTCCCTGAGAGAGGATGTGAACACTAGCACTACAGGCAGGAAGAGCCTGCTCAACGTGGTTCAATACTAGTGGCCCTGCCAGGAGCCCCAGCTGCATGGGGACTGCAGCCCCAAGTCCTGGAAATGCTCTCCGAGAGGCCCAGACTGTTCTGCAGAGACACGGTTTGCCGGGTGCCTTTCCTCAGGCTTTGCTGGCTTTCCAGCATGATTCTGCATTCCAAACCTGCCAAGCTAACCTTCCAAAAACTCAGGTAGCCCCACACACTGCTTGCCCAAATATATGGCCTTTACATCTGGCGCTGGCTCTGGAACGCCAGTGCCCTCTGGTGGCTGCCAAGTGTGGGGGGCAGGGCTCTGTGGCCATGTCTGCAGGTACACACCCTCCAGCTATCCTTCCTGTGCTTCTTCCACCTTCTCATGGGCCAAGAGCAGCCACAAACAGTACCTACTTCACAAGGCTGGTCCTGAAAAAAAAGTCTGAGACTTCTGCACAGGGCTCAGATTACGCCTTTCATGATCACACACAGGCCCACAGATGCAGTTTCAGGAGAAGTGGAAACCATGTTAAAAGGTGGCAGAAAGGACAAGTGCAGTAAGTACAGGAAACTAAAGGGAATCGCTGGGGTAAGGATAATTCAAGTGGGAAGATGAAGACAAACCTGAGATGCAGAATTGGCACAGGGTGGGGTGGGGTGGGGAGCAAAGGAACTAGGTCCTGAAAGAAAATGAAGAAAGAGGGCCTGTAAATGTTTTATTTGTTCCTGAGACTGAAAGCGCTATGCTTGGCACTGAGGACTCAGTTCACTCCACAAAGCATCCTTCTTTTAAACCCTGGCCGAGGCGGCAGCCGCTGAGCCCAGACATCTCCTAGGAAGCCCACAACTCAAGGTTTCCGTCCTGGGCTCTTCAGAACAGAATCAGGCCAGCCACGGACCACCTGCCCAGCACTGCGGAGGAGCTGGAAAGGGAGAGACCAGCACAGGTGGTGTTCTAACCCACACACTGCCACCACGTGCTGCTCACGGATGTCCACTTCCGTCTCCTTCCTCTTCTTTCCCACTCAGCGTGTGTGGCTGCGTCTCCCACAGTCTGCTCTCCCACAGTCTGCTCTCCAGGAACTTCATGACCCAGTGCCTCCTCCCCCAAGGAGCCCTCTGCACCACGGCCAGAATTCTCATCTCCACCTGTCACTCTGAACACGCCCTTCATCCTCAAGTCTGACTGCTTTGCCTACCGCCAGGCACTGCTGGTCTCAACTGATCCTAAAGTGCACCTTCGTCACGACGCCCCTCGCTCACAATCTCTTAGAGCATCCAAGTTCCTCAACTGGGTGGGCAAGACTGACACCATCATGCCCCCATCACCTCCGAACACTGCCTCACAGCATGTCGGGTGACCCCGGTTAAACAGAGTCACTGTCCCACACTCACCCAGGATTTCCTCCCTGCAAGTCCTGGTTCTTGCTACTCTCTTCTCATGCCTGTGAGGTCCTCCTAATCCTTTAATTCACCTGTCTGACCCTAAGGCACAGTGTAACCAACCTCAGATGAACTTCCACCTCATTCTTCCTGTGCATGCAGTCTGCTGTAAGCAGCTCTCATGGGGTCCCAAGAGAAAGTCCACCATCCAGTGAAGAGGTGAAGAGGAGGAATCCTTTCCCCTGCCTTCTGGGAAGAGAGCTGTGCTCATTCCCTGGAGAGAGACTGAGCTCAATCTAGTTACTATAAAAGAAGAAACGCCAGTGGAAATAGTATGTCTCTTGACCACACTCATCTTAGTTTCCTAACTACACCCACAGTTACCTGTTCAGACCATCCCCTGTGACACCCCACTGTTATCCCAAGTCCAGCTTCTGCAAGGGGGAGCACAGAAGCTGGGCTCAGCTGGAGCCTGCACTGTGCCAGGTGCAGCACTGTACCCTGGGACAGAAGGGTGACTAGGAGCAGCTGTTCAGCACATCAGACAGACTGGGTGAGTCTGTACGCTGGGGTTTCATCCCCATTTGACATCTGAAACTGATGTCAGTGCTCAGAGAGATTAAAATTAGTCCATAAGGACGCTCAGCTCCTAAGAGATAAGCCAAGTGCTTGCTGCCTAGGTAGATGATGACTCAACAGTACACGCTGCTCCTATGGCTAAAAGGTGCAAGTGGGACCAGGCAAGGGGATAGAGGGAAGGTGACAGGGCAAGTGGTGTTTGAGGCAGGAGGGAGGGAGGGGCTGAGTGCGCCAGCCTCTGGACAGGCTGCAGAGGGCTGAATCCCAGCACCGCCACCGATTAGCTAGGGAGCATCCCTCAAAGTTGCCTCTGCCTACAATCTAAGATGAATAAGCGCACTGTGATATGAAGAGTCTCTAAGCTATTAACATCAAATGTCACCTTAATCAATTGCTGCATGCACACTCCTTGGGCTGTGCAGCTGATTATAGGCACATCACTTCCATCAAACATGTGTTGGAAATACAAAGAAACTGAAATCCTGAAATAAAACAGAACCAATAATTCATGGTATCTCTGGGGGCAGAACTCTCAAAAGTCAATACCGCATGCTTTAAACTCAAAGCAGCCTCAGAAAGGACAGATTGAAGCATGACCTCCTTGAATCACTCCTCACAGTAAAACAGGGCAGAGCATACAAGGTAAACAGAACTATTTATGTGATTACTGTCATAAAATACACTGGGCTTGTGATTACCTATGAAATGGGGTTTTTAAAAACGTATTTCCCTGCAAATTCATAATACTCTTAAAGCAGTATTCAACTAAACCACCTAATGTAGACAGCTAATCTTTTTAAAAAATGGTATTATAAATGCACCTTCGCTCTTTCTGCTGTTTGGCTGTATCGTGTTTTGGCCGTTCAGCAATCTCCATGCAGATTCAGACACACTGCAGTAAGACCAACTATTACAGACACAGCTGCCAGTTCTGCCTGGGTGCTCAGCTGGTTAGAGCAGTGTCCCCCCATACACCAAGGTGGTAGGTTCAAACCCCAGTAAAGGCACATATAAGAATCAACCAATGACTGCATCAAGAAGTGGAACAACAAGTGTTTTCTCTTTCTCTCCCGCCAATGCTCTAAATCAGTAAATGGACCACCAGTAGCAGCTTTACCCTAATGGAATTTCCTAAATGTTATATTTGTTTTGGGTCAGTGCTTGGGATACGTTCACTGTTACTGATAATCAACTGACCTTAGAACTAAAAAGAAATACCAGAACTTCCTATGGTTTCGCACTAACTGTGAGCCACCCCTGGCTGTCCGATCTGTAAAATGAGTAGATGGCATGCTTCAATTTCTCGGACCTCTTTAGAACCAAAACTTAGCAATTCTGGGAATCTTAAGGACAATTCCTTATAGTGTACCTGTGGCACAATCAACAAATTAAGCCAGTCACAAAAAACGACAAGCACTGCATGATTCTACCTATTTGAAGTACCTGAAACCGTGAAATTCACAGAAAGAGAGAGCAGCATGGGGGCTGCCAGGGCTGGGGGAGGGGAGATGGGGAGGAACTACTGGGCGCAGAGGGCCAGGGCTGCCAGAGGAGAAGGCCCGGAGACTGGTTCCACAGCAATGGGAACGCCCTCACCACCTCCAAACTGTCCGCTTAAAGATGGTTAAGATGGTAAAGTTTATGTTACGTGTTTTTTCCACAAATAAGAAAACAAATGGAAGTAAGAACTTAAGTGCTGGAGTGACATCAGGTGCGTCTGGCAGGCAGTTCCCCCTACAGCCCAGGTCATGTGGTGTGTGCTTAAGGAGGAAAAGAAACGCCTAGTTCACTCCCAAGAGCAGTGAGGAACAGCTTCCTCAGACCCAGAAACAAGTGGGTGCTGCTGAAGCCATTTCTGCTTTTCTCACTGTGGAAGACAGGCTCTCAAAGTCACTACAGTAAATAACTGCAGCGAGGCATGCTTCCTAAGCCTAACAGCTTGGCGAAGTGGAAGCCTTTCCCGGAATCCCACCATTTGTTTTACCAAGGCCTGCTAAATGAGCACTGGAAAGTGCTGCAAACTTTCTGGTTCAGTGCATTTATTTTAATAAAACTACACGGCACACTGTATTTCTTTTGCTTGCTGTCGTCTTCCACCCTAGCAAGATGTGTCGCTTGGCCCCTAAGAGCCTGTGCTGTCTAGAACACATTCCATTACTGCCAGCCTGAGATAAAGTAACCTATTACTGTGAAATTATAGTACCTGTTCTTTATATAATAGCCTATACTAATACATTCCCAGTGCTTTTTTTCCCTCCAACTACCCTTGTTATCTGCTTCGGTAAGTCTTCCACTGGGGGACAAACTTGTTCTTGAAATCCTTTATGTTCCCTAAAACCTGCTTGAGTACCTTGACAAAAAGACGCAGAAAAAAAAATCCTGAAGATTTACAGCTCAATAAAAATGCAAAGGAATGAAGTTAATAAATGCCCGTTACTAACAACTCACCATATGGAAGGCCCTGTCTGAGGAACTAGAGAGGACACAGAGATAACTAAGCACTCACACTCTAGCATGTAACAACCTGAGCAGATACTCCCAACAGGTCATATAAACACAAACAAATGACAAGGTAAGAAGCAGAATGAGGTGAGGAACCACTGCATCCCACTGAGATGGGGTAGCCTGGGAAACCTCACCAAGGACTTGGCCTACTGCACCCACCATGAAACAATGACCAGGATGCTGAAGGGTTGGCACGGAGAGAGGATGGGGAGTGAAAACAGAGCCAGCACAGGCAGAGACTTGGGACAGCATGGCAGAGTTCAGGGCCGGTGACTGCTGGTAACAGCTGGTATGAAATAGAAAACATTACATCAAAGGTCACTTTTCCATACAGTAATTATACATTCTGGTAACAAAACCCAGCTATTTTTAGTTTATTTTACCCAATTATTATAATCCAAGACTCTAACACCTCACTCATAAAAAATGTTTAAACATCTATCTACCCAAACAAACTGAGCAACACCGCTTCCCTTCCTCCAAATGTGACTTCCACATTGGACTGTGCGGAGTGCCCTGTACCAGTGGTTTGGAGAGGGGCCCTTAAGAAACAACACCGCCCAGGTTTCAGCCTTACTCTGTGACTTTGGACAACTCATTCCCCATCTAGGCCTGCTTCCTCATCTACAGAATGAAAGGACCGACTCGGATGATCTACAGAATCCCTCGCATGACAATTAATGTCTCTTGGATATATAAAGGCAGGGCACTGCAGACAAAACCACCAGTTCAGAATAACACATTTGTAAAACGCTGACATCTGCTGGACACCGGGAAAACTGCTCAGCCCATCCAAAAAGCAGCATCCTTTACAAACCTAGTTTTGGGTCCTCACTCTGAAACATGTTACTGAAGATGCAAATTTCTTATGAAATTGGGTTTTCCAAAATTTGATTCTATAGAACCTAACAAATTTTTGAAGAAAATAACTTTAAAGTTACTTCAGGGATGCCTGGTGCCACTTGGAAATTTGAGCCTATGCCCCTATGCTTTCCTGTTATCACAAAAATAACCAGCCTGAAAAATATAATAGAAAAAGATTCCATTCACAATCAGCAACAAACACTACTAATTATCTAGGAATATACTTAACAAAAAATGTGCAGAAGCCACACAATTAAAAGCACAACAACCAACAGAAGAACACACAGGAAGCACTGAACTGCTGGGCACAGGGCTGCACTTCTGGAGCGGAGCAGACTGCCTGTCACAGAGAAGTCCCTTCCCCCAAACTGACCTAACAACACAGCCCAATTCCAACTGAGATCTCTAGAGGATCTGGGGCGCAAAACTGACAAAATAACGTTAAAGTTAATCTCAAAAATAAATGTAGGGCAGTCAACTAAATTTTTAAAATAACAATAATGCAACAGGACTTCTACTACCAGGCACTAAAGCATTCAAGCACATTCAACAGCTATTATACTACATCAATCAAAATACTACAGTCCAGGTTCCGGAACAGGCAAGCAGATCAATGGGAAAGACTCATCCAGAAATAGACCTGTGCAAGAACTGAGTGCAAGAAAATGGCAGCACACTTTAAACACGCAACACAGTGTTAACTGCCACCACAGCACTGTGCGTTTCACTCCTATTACAGACAGAGTTAAACAAACTTCCCAGGGGCAAAGTTCTCCCCAGCAGCTGCCTGCAACAATCACTTGCTCTTTGATCCCCTTACTTGAATGCATCTCTAATCTACCAAAATAAGCAAGCAGCTTTCAACTCTGCCCTTCTTTTTCCATCTGGGCCTGAGTATCAACCACATAATCTCTAACAGAGCCCATCAGAAGTACCAATATATAGCAAACCTAAACTTCTTTCAGATGAGGGAGGAGAGAAAAATCACTGCAATTTGAAGTTTTAGATGTTAAAAAAAAAAATAGGAGCACCTTTTTGCCTTCTTTGCAGTTACCATTAGTCATTCATTCAACATACAATTATTAGATTTGTACTTCAAAAAAGATATTGAAGCTGAAGAAAAAGGGGACACCTCCATGCTTGCTTCAGCAGCACATATACTAAACTGGAATGATACACAGAAGATTAGCATGGTCACTGAGAAAACATGATGTGCAAATTCTTTAAGTGTTCCATATTTTCAAACCTCATCAAAATAAAAAGGGATCTAACCATATGGAAAAAACACATATTTACAATGATACTTCAGACAAGGGTTTGATGCCCCAAACATATAAAAAAACTTGTATGATTCAACAGCAGGAAGACAAAAGATCCAATCAAAAAATGGGCAAAGGACCTGGACAGACATTTCTCCAAGGAGGACACACAGTGGGCCTAGAGACATAGGAAAGGATGCTCAGCATCACTAGCCATCAGAGGATGCAAATTAAAACCTCAATGAGATGCCACTTCACACTGGTCAGAATATCCATCATAATAACCAAAACAACGGACATCAAGTGTTGGAGAGATTGTGGAGAAAAGAGAATCCTAGTGCACTGTTGGTGGGAATGCAGACCAGTGCAGCCACTGTGGAAAACAGTATGGCATTTTCCCAGAAAACTAAAGATAGAACTGCCTTTTGACCCAGCAATTCTACTGCTGGGATTATACCCTAAGAACCTTAAAACACAAAATCAAAACAACCTATGCACCCCAATGCTCAAAGCACTACAATTTACAATAGTCAAGTGTTGGAAACAGCCCAAGTGTCCTTCAGAAAATGAATGGATCAAAAAACTTGGTATGTTTACACAATGGAATACTAAGCAGCAGAAGGAAAGGAGGAGCTCCTACCCTCTGCGACAGCATGGATGGAAATGGAAAGCATTATGTTAAGTGAAATAAGCCAGGTGGGGAAAGAAAAATACCATATGATCTCACCTGTAAGTGGAACCTAATGAACAAAACAAACAAGCAAAATACAGCCAGAAGCAGGTGAACAAAACAAAAAAGACTGACAATGACCAGAGGGCAGGGGGTAAGGGGTTAAGGGTGGAAAGAAGAGAAAGGGACTAGTCAAGAAATGTATATGAATGACCCACGGACAAAGACAACAGGGTGGGGACTGACGATGGGGGTGGGGTGGGCGGAGATCAAAGGGGGAAAAATTGGGACCACTGTAACAGAGTGAAATATTTAATAAAAATTAAAAATTAAAAAAAAAGGAAAGGAAAAAGATGATACTGCAAATCCACTGGGGTACTGTGCTGAGCGCAAATACCCAAAGGACGCCTGAGGAATGTTTTTGTTTCCCCAGGCGCAGGAGGGCTGCCAGGTGAAAGCTTCAGTGAGGCACACAGAGAATAATCTTCTGACCTTTATAAAATGGTCTAAAACAAAGCAGGCTTTCCTGTTAAGTTGTGGGCTCTTAATCCCTGCATTCATGTAAAAACAGAAACACTTTGAAACTACATGCATGGGATGCAGTAGAGCTAGTCCACTCACACAAAGCATACTGAGGTGTCCCAGCATAGGTAGAAATACGGAGGAAGAAGGGCCCAAACCCCAGGAGGCTGCTGGAGGAGGCAGTGCGTAAACCGAGACAAGGAAGGTGAAGACCCCAATAGGCAGACAAGCACGATGGGCATTCAGGAGGGAACCAGAGAACAGAGGCTGAGAGACCTTCCCTCAAAGAGGAAACATACACACACACCCTTCTTTCCCTCTTCCTTGACTCTTGGTACAGAACGTGGACTTGTTTTCTAGGCTGCAAAGACAAAGCTGTCACATAATAGAACACAATCCAGCTGCATGTTAAGGTCACTCTGGCAGGAAATTGAAACTGAGAAGGCAAGCGTTCAGAGAAGGTGGTGAACTGGGAGTTCACTGAAATGACCTAGGACAGAGAGCACAACCCCACCAGGTGTCAAAATCATTGGGGGCAAAGGTGCAATTTCAATTCCTGGTGCAGCTCCCTTGAAATCATCTCTTGTCCTCATTTTTCAATGGAGAATACTTTCTAACTTACTTTTCTGGAAAGCAGAAAATGTTGTAATTCATCAAAAGAAACATCCCAGTCTTGTGGCCTGTCAAAATGCTATAATGAAGAATTTTAAAGAGATGTTTTCCCTGATAAAGGCATTCACAGAAATGCATCCTCTTGGCTCTTGCCCATAGAACAGAAAAAAAAGAGGCAGCTACATACAGTCTTAGGGAGAGGAGTCCCCTACGCCTGCCACAGGACTGTCCCACTGTTCCTTGGGGGCAGAGGAGATGTGGAGGGGCACAGAGAGATGAAGAGAGGGATGGACACAGAGAGGATGAAAGGGGGTGGGGGAGGCAGAAGAGGGTAAAGGGGGGATAAATGGTGATGGAAGGACACTGGGGGTGAACACAATATACAGATGCTGTGCTATATAGAACTATACACCTGAAAGCTATATAATTTTATTAACCAGTCATGCCAAAAAATTCAATAAACTTAAATAGAGAAGAGTCAGGGGTGGGGGGTTGAGAAGCACATTCATATAAACCCATGATGGCATTTTTATACACACAGGTGTTCACCAGTCTAGCTTGAGATTTAAGGGTAAGAACTAAAGTAAAAACAACTTTTTTTCCTATTTCAAACACCTCTTAATATTAAAAATTCTGCTTCTCCTCTGAACATATATGGAAACATAGATAAAACTAATAGACAACCTAATGTCTCAATTAAAGGTAATGAAATAAAAACTGAATTGGAAAATGAGTTTAAATAGCCGAAATTCTGTGTGTAGGGACTTGAAGTCACCCAGGTTAGTTCCTTTAACAATGCTTCAGTGTCTGACAGTGCACTCAACGCATCACTCTGCTTGCACAGAACGTTTAGCAAGCTGACCCATCTTGGCAAGAATAACAGGCCATAACCCCTAAGGAAGTATCTTTTCATCCTAATGGGTTGGGAGTTAACAAAAAGTAAATTACCACTCCATGAAATGAGAATATATTCTAAATTTGCTGCTGCAAAAGATAAAATAGACAATCCTGGAAGAGCTCCAAGGAAGCCTATGAGTGCACTTACAAGTCCAATGAAAGTCCCTGATACAAAGGAAAGCCTTGGCTCTTCTTCCTGTGTATTTACTTGAATAAAAAATACCTTGGAAAAAAAGTAAGGCTATGACCAGTGCTCCTTTACACACAACTCACTTAGTGCAATTCTTCCTTGGGAAAGTTACCCGCTTTCCCACAAATGCCATCGCCAAGGGTACCTGTTCTATGAGTAATGGTTCTCATGCAGAACGCTGTCAGGAGAGAGGCAGAAGGTACACGTGATAGAGCAATCTTAATGAAGGAGATGTTATGAAAAGAAACAGAAGTGGGTGCCCGCAGCTGTGTGAACTGCCTCTGTCCGTACAGAAGACCCTTGACCTCCCTGGGCTTCGATGATCCCATGTGGAAACAAGGCAGATGAAGTGAGGCCCATGAGAGTCTGCTGTGCCTCCATTAGCACCTGACTCTGGGGGAGGCTCTCTGCCGTCCAGAACTGCCACACAGGCAGATGAAGTGCGCAAAGAACATTTCAAAAATACAGCTGCTTTGGGTTAAGAAGGTGGTCCTGAGTCGGGTAATGGCTGCCTTTTATCTAGCCCAATTGAGTAGGGCATAGGCACCAGAGGCTCCCCACCCCGTTTTTTCTCACCAGCTTTCAGCGGGCAGAGCAGCATGGGCCTACCGCCGTCCACCATCCAGTTTAGCGCAAAATTACAACTGCTTTGATTTATTTTTGATCTTGATTATTTTGGGAGTTCAAACAAAATTAGTGAAGGAGATTTTTTTGTGAAGCAAAAGAGACGTGTTAAAGACTCAAAAACTCCTCTTGCAGTCAGAGCATGAGCTGTTGCTATGAAGCGTACTGAAATAGCAAACATGGCAGGATCCTGTGACTCGTTATTTTTTGGCTTAGTAAAAACTAAACAAAGAAACAAACTTCTAATAATACTGATAGTCATTCTGACAATCAAAAGTGGGTCAGAGGTGTAACAACTCATCACAGTCTGACACCACCCTAAGATGTCAATTCTAACACCACATGCTCACCTGTTGACAAGGCCTCCTCTCGAACCTCGCCCTCACCAGGCTGATGAATATTCCAGGATGTTTTGGGAAGCGAAGAAATTTCCTGGGGCGATGCTAATTTGACCATATCCATGTGATTGCTCTGGAACTGGTACCGTGGGATAAAGCAAGTTTTCCCTTGTTGGAAAATGTCCTTGATGATCTCTTCCGTCTCAATTTCATCCTGCATGCTCAGAAAGATGGAGATCCTTTTGGACTTCTGATACTGACTGTGGGCAATTACCTAGATGGGAAAGGAGAGCAATTACATTTTCCAAGATTACACTCTTAACAAGCAGAGACTCCCCTTAACAGTTTTAACATTTTCTCCCTTCTTTGCCAGCCTTCAACTCCCTTAACTGTCCAAAAACAAAAACAAACAAAAAAACAGCGGAGTGCTACAGTGGGTCAGTGCTGGATCCTGAACACAAACTTTTGGTTCTGCACCCCACACTTATTTCTCTGCTCCCTCTACACCAGTCAGGCATACCTACTTTTGTAGGTGTGAAAACTCATTATAAAGCCACTGTGTGGCCCTGCTAGCTGTTTAAAGAGTTCCAGGCTTGACCTCCATCTACCCATTCTTTTCACTCACTTCGCCTATTTATTATTATTATTATTTTTTATTTTAACTCTGAACCTTGGCTCCCACAAGCTCCTTCACTGTTTGGATTGGCAGGGTTCTCTCCTGAATTCTACCCACTTAAACCCAACTGAAGTGCTAATTTTTCTGACTTCTGCTGACCCTTATATTCAGTTAGTATATATAACTTAACACTTATGTACTGTTGGGAGTTGATGACTAATTGTTTCATGTGCCCTTAACATGGTACTCTAACCAGTCTGTAAGCTCCCAGGAGGCAGAGAACATGTCTTACAATTCTCTTATCTTGACTCAACCTCCATCCTATTTTCTAACTCTTCTCTTCATATGAGTATTAAAAAGTTCACAAAGATGGGGGATGGGGGTGGAGAAGCAAAGTTCCTCTAAAAGCGGGTGCCTAATTTATGAGAAGGTAGAAACGGGTGAGAGAAGGTAGAAACGGGTGAAAGAATTCTCTTCATATTCAGCTTAATGATTCATCAGGTAGAAGGAGGCCACGCTTTGCTTAACAGACAAAAAAGTTAACAATCTGAGAACTTCCCCACACTTAGCCTTAGCTCTTAGCTTTCTTTTTTCCCCCTTTCATTTTCTGTTCTCCCTTGTTCTGCAAGCTAAGAAAAATATACCACAGAAGTGCCTTATAAAGGTGACTGGCCAATTCAGAAGAGTCAAACTTTCCTAATAAAAAAAAGGACATATAATAAATAGAGCACACCAAACCATTAAGGAAGAAAATTAATTCCATCATCTGAAAGGTTACTAAACTGCTAGGCCAAGCAAACTTCAATGTGAAACCCAGACCTTGGGTGGTAGATCTGGGGCTTTTGGCACCCAAGTAATCTGAGAAAGTTAAGTGTCTTTTTTTGTGCTCTTAAAAGGGGAATATAGAAAATCAAGAGCTGAATAAGTAGTAATGAACAGCAGTTAAAATTCAGTGTGAGACTGTACATATATTTGTTTTTCTTCCATCCTCAAATCTTTTATGTGAGAATAAAAAAAAAAATTCAGCACTGAGAATGGGAGCATAGAGATTTCACTAATTTAAATAAAACAGAAAGTGGATGAGAGAGTATTTACAAACAAAGCCGCAGCGGACCACATCACTCAGAGAACATGACGCATATAGGTCAGGCAGAATCCAGTCCTCTCATGGAATCCCAAAGTGAGTACAAAAGGCAAAGGAAATCCCCATTAGCTATCACCCTTCCACTGATACATATGTACAGACAATAAAGATTCATCCAACATTCTAGAAAGCCACAATGCAAAGTAAAACAATTAAAAAGGGTGGGTGCCCTGGCAGGGTAACTTGGTTACAGTGTCATCCTAAAATGCTAAGGTTGTCAGTTGGATCTCTGAACCCCATTGGCCAGTGCACATATAAGAAACAACCAATGAATACATAAAAAAAAAAAGTTAAAAGTTATTTTTAAAAATAACTTTTAAAAAAAGGTGGTAGGTTCAACCAGTACAAAACTAAGGTAACTTAAAGAAAAAATTTTTTAGTTTTTTCAAATTAAGATAGTTGCATCCAAAAAACAAGCTACTATAGGAAGAACAGGACAAAAAAATGGAGAAAAAGAGAAAAAAATGTTGAGACCAAGAGCAAGCTAGAATTTTTATTACTTGATTAACAGGAATTGCAGAAAGGCAGAAAAAAACGTAGTAATCAAAACTGTAATAGATAAAAGTAATGGTCTTCAGATTGAATGGAGTTTAGGGGTGCTAGGCAGAACAAAGAAAAAAATCACTTTAAAATTTAAATTCAAACTATCAGCCTTAGCTGGTGCAACTCAGCTGATTGAGCACCAGCCTGAGAACCAAAAAGTCGCCAGTTCCATTCCCAGTCAGGACACACTAGATAGTAGCCTGGGTCCCCAGTAGGCAACCACACATTGACTTTTCTCCCCCCCCCTTAAAAATACTTAATATTTTAAGAACAGAAACTCAAACTATTAAATAGAAAGGTATAAATATTTTCTGAAGTATAAAGTACACCCAGTTTATCGTTCACTGTACTATACACCTGAAACCAATAATGTTGTACATCAACTGCAACTGAAGAATATTTTAAAAATTACTAAAACCGTGAAAAATATTTACTTTTTCACAGGACATCGATTTTCTTCTCTGTTGTCCAACCAAAGTCAGTCTCACAGACACGTTTGCCACATGCCTTCCGGGCACCATGGGCCGCCATGTTTTCCGGACGGGAAAACCCACGTCCCACAATGGTGGCGGCAAAGATCACCAACAGGAGGTTTCGAACCCAACCCACAGACGGGGAACCTCGTTCACACCCCCTCATCTCCCCCCGCCCCCGTCACGGCGGCAAGAGGCTGAGAACCAAGTGTCTTTCAGTAACTCAGAAAAGCACACCCTAGTCACCACTGCCGGACACGAAGACGCGAGGGACGGCCGAGATGGCCGCCATCCTCTCACTCAATCAGGGTGGTCTCGCTCGCTGGTGCCTCTACCCCCTCACAGTCCTCGGCTTAAGGAACAACATTTCTCCGGTCTTTTCAGCCTCCTCTGCCACTCTCGTTTCACGACCTCCAACACTGACTGAAAGCACCTCAGCTGGGGCCCGCCGCGCCCCAACCCGGTGTCTCCATCCTGGGCCCTCACCACCACCCCGGCGTCGCCCGGAAGTGGGGGTCACGCGCTCCGTCCCCTCACTAGCCCTGGCGCGCTCCCAGCAGCACCCTCGCCCGGCCCTCGTGCTTAAGACCTTCCAGACACGCTCCAAAGGACGTCAGCGTGCCGCATGGAACGTGCATACGCCGAGGGGGCGGAGAAGTGCGACGGCGGTGGTGCCGGGAGACACGTGCGCGCGCCTGGGGAAAGTGTGGCGAAGGGGGGGGAGCGCGCACCAGGGGCAAGTGAGCGCGTGGGAGACGTGCGCGCGGGGGTGGGGTGGGGAGTGCGCGTGCTAGAGCCTTGCGTCTGCGCAGGTCCTCACGCCCTCGCGGCGCGGCCGTGAGTCAGTGTCGCCCGCCGCCGTAACCGCCCCTGCGGTCGCCCACCTTCTGGGTCAGGAGGCGGGACTGACGCAGCCGCTCCTCGGCGCTGAGGGCTCGCAGGCGCTGCTTCAGCTCAGCCCTCAGGCTCCGTTTGGCGCCGCTGACAGCCGCCGCCGCCGCCATGTCGGGTACCAGTCACCCTCACCCCAAGTCCGCGTTGCTGATCGTGCTAGTCGGAGACGGCCTGGCGGCTTCCGGATCGCAGCGCCCCGCCCCCGCCCGGCCCCGCCCTGCCGGGCGATCTCCGCGGGCCACCCCTGCTCGCCACAGGCCTTGGGCCGCCGGTGTTTCAGGTGACGTTTAGTAATGGAAAGAAAGGGGTGGAGGGGGGAGGCCAATGCCTAAGGACATTAAACTCTAAGATAATTGCAAGTTTAGAAAAAAATGACTTTGTTCTATGTTAATCAACTTGACTAAAGTTCTTACAGAGAATAAACATTCAAGAATAGCTAGGATAACACTGAAAACCGAAAGTCACAGGAGGAAACTGGCCTTTCCAGACGTTGACACAGAGTCTGAAGACAATGATTAGTTCGGCGTGGCAGTGCCACTCGGACACACAAATCGACAGTAGACAGAAGCAACAACAGAAAGTTTATCAGAATTGAAAACGTGCATGAAAGGACTCCAAGAAAATGAAAAGATTACCTAGAGAATGGGAGAAAATATTTGCAAATCATATATTTGATAATCCAGAAGAGTATATAAAGACCTCTTGCAACTCAGCAGTTAAAAAAACAACCATAATCCAGCTTTACAATGGGCAGAGGTCTTGAGTAGACATTTTTCCATATAAGATGTACAAATGGCCAATGAGCACGTGGAAAGATTTCAACATTATTTGTCATTAGGGGAATGCAAATCAAAACCACAAAAAGATACTTCACACCCACTAGTGTGGCTCTAATTTAAAAAGATGTAGCAGAAAGGGACTGGTGAGGATGTGGAGAAATCGAAACCCTCACACCCATGGGAATTAAAATGCTGCAACATGGATTGGCCTTGAAAACTGTACACTAAGTGAAAAGGAGCTAAACCTGAAAGGCCATATAGTCTATGACCCCACTGATAGGAAATTTCCAGAACAGGCAAATCCAGAGACACAGAAAGGTTAGTGGTTACCCTGGGCTGGAGACGAGAGGAATAGGGTCAAGGATTTCTTTTTAGGATGTTGAAAATTCAGTCGTGAGAGCTGTTTCACAGTAAATATGCTAAAAAAAACACTGAATTGTACATATTTAAAATTCTTATTCATTGATTTTGAGAGAGAGAAGAGGACAGAGAAACACTGATTTATTGTTCCACTTATCTGAGCTTTCATTGGTTGATTCTTGTAGGTGCCCTGACTAGGGATCAAATCCGCAACCTTGACTTATCAGGATGATGCGCCAACCAACTGAGCTACCCAGCCAGGGCTTTGAATTGTATATTTTAAAAGGGTGACTTCAGTGTGAACTACATTCCCATAAGGTAAAAGAGATAAAAGAAGATATAAATGTTTCTGCTCATTTCTAGAAAAAAGCAGGACACACTCACCAGAACCTAAGTTTGGGTACCTGTAGGGGAATGGGTGAAGAAGGGTAGAAAAACTGCGAAAATGGGATGGAGTAGCAGTGAGGAAGAGCCAGTGACCTTTCTCTCTCATAGCCCTGGTTTGTACAGCTCTGACTGTCAGAGTCATGGCAATGTTACATATACATGCCTACAACCAGGGTGTGGAGGTTAACCCAAAACAGACTGTAAACAGGGACAAACTGGACTGTTATAAATGATTAACATACCACCACCAAATGGGTGGGGAAGAAAAGAACTTAAGTAACTTTAGAAAACAGTATGTCGACTAAAGGCCAAGGGCAGACACAAACTACTTGATATAAACATTGTACTCTAGTTGTATTTGTTTCTTGTAGGGTTATAAATTAGCAACTGGCAAACTGCTTTACCTGTATGATAGAGTTGAACAAGTAAATATATTGTGGATAATGAGACTCAGCGTTTCTCCCTTTTGAAAAACAACTTACAAATAAGGAAAGAGGAAGTTTGGATTGCATCCTGTGGCATTCATTGTGTTGGAATTAAAAGTGTCAGTGTAAACTTGTGGTTTTATTTATTTACTTTTTTAAGATATTATTTTTTATCTTTAGAGGGGAAAGGAGGGAGAGGAAGAGAAATATCAATGTATGGTTGCCTCTCGTGTGTCCCTAGCTGGGAACTGGCCTGTAACCCAGGCATGTGTCCTGACTGGGAATCGAACTGCAGTTGTTTGGTTCGAAGGCCCGTGCTCAATCCACTTAGCTACACCAGCCAGGCCTAAACTTGTAGTTTTAAATACACGCACACACAAATAGATGCATGAATTGTAGTGACCTCTAGTGTAAGTCAGCTGGTGTTTATTAACCATCTACCACAGCAGGCTCCCAGCTGGGATCCCAGCCGGGCTCCCAGCCATCCAAGTCTCCTGGTCACAGCACTGCCAAACCTCACCTGCATAGGAGAAATGACAGCAAGTGTGTGTGCTGACGGGACTGGTTCAGTAGAGACTCAGATGCAGAAGAGGGAGCAATAAGGGCCATGGTCTAGTGCACAAGTATTAGGGGTCAGCTTTAGACCAGCTGATTCACCGTAGCAGGAAGGAAGAAAGATGCACTTGCATCAGTGCAGGGTCAGGTAGGTTAGCACAGCGTGCAGAACTGTGCTGTGGAAGTTCTCTGAACTGAGAAGCAAGGTCAGCGAGAGTGACATTGTCTCAATAGCATTACAAGCGTTATGTAATAAATTCTTCCTGTATACGTGCTCCTTTGCTGCACAGACCACCATGATCAGCCTCCAGCTTGAGAGTGGTTTTGGAGAACCTTAGTCATGGGTTTGGTTCTTGTGGGAGCCATGAGCAGGCAGTCCTAGCCCGAGGCTCCGCCTGACCACCCTGCCTCGGGTCAGAAAGCAGATGAATCAGAGCGCCCACCAGCTGCCCACACTGGAGGAGTGGCTGAGCCACCCGCCACCCTCTCGCTGTGCCCCTCGGAGCACCGTCCAGCAGAAGTAGCCACACAGAGCTACTGTTTATAAAGAAAGGGTCAGTTTTATTTTCATGCAGGAATATATAAAGCAACTTTCACCCTCTGGTAAAAGTTTCCAGGTCCAAAACAGTGCCGACCAGTTGTAGTTTGGGCCATATACCACAGGGAAGACTTCTGACGCTCACCTGGCAGCTGCAGGCCCACTACATCCTGGGGAAACCCCTCTCACCCAGCTGACCTGGACAAGCAGTTTCCTCTCGAGAAGGGGGTGAGGAAGGAAGTGGAAGGAGAGGGCGGCACTGCGTGCTCAGAGGGAAGCATTGCAGGGAGAAGGCTCAGGGCAGTGAGGTCCAGCATGGGCTTGAGGGGCCATGTGAGGCGCCCACTGACTGCATGACCTTGGACAAGATTCTTCCTGCTCTGAAGCCTGTTTTCCTCAAGAGTTCAATAGGGATAATGTCTCCAAGTTCCTAGGAAAGTCAGCGCAAACTCGAAGGGCAGATGATTGTATGGTGGGAGCAGGAGGAAGAGCGGGAAGGTCTAGAACAAGGGACAGAGCCCCCCCACTGCAATCCAATTTACTGACCTCAAAATTGGAACATGCTGTAACAGACAATTTTCTAATTTGTGACATATTCTAAAAGGAAGGTTTACCCTGGCTGGTGTGGCTCAGTGGATTGAGCACCGGCCTGTAAACCAAATGGACGCCGATTTAATTCCCAGTCAGGGCACATTCCTGGGTTGCAAGCCAGGTCCCCAGTAGGGGCCATGCGAGAGGCAACCACACATTGATGTTTCTCCCCCTCTTTCTTCCTCCCTTCCCCTCTGTCTCTAAAAATAAATAAATAAAAAAGGAAGGTTTAACAACGGCAATACTAAATCATGTACCTGCCTTTGTTCAAACTACCGCATTGCAGGCTGAGTATCTGGGTCCCAAATCCATCAGCTCCAAGTGGCAGGCCACGGAGTGATGGTGGGGGAGGCGTCAAGGGAAAACCCCAGGCGCCCTGGATTCGACAACAGACAGGGCCCAGAGGGAAGTGGGAAGCCAGCCGACCCTCTGTGCAATCCAGACCAGTGACAGAGGACGACTTCTGGACCATGAGCTCAGCCTTAAGGAAGTCTACAGGAGATACTGCCTTCCTCTTACTCACGGTCTTCAGTATCTGTCCCCGTGTCAAGCTTCCCCCCTCAGCTGGACTCCCAGGCAGGACACAGATCACACAGAGACATACATACATTAGATTTATTCATCACTGTGGAACATTGGGTTGCATCATGGATATTGTTTGTCCAGAAGCAGAAGAAAAGTGCTCACAATTCCTCTTGCAAGAGTCCGGTTAAGTTTGCAGGTTTCACAATATGAGTGTCCTTTTCAGTTAGTAGTATTGCTTCAGAAGAGAGAACATTTTGCACACCTTTCCTATAACTCCCAGAAAAGTCAGCCGATGACATTCAGTTTCAAACTTCTTTACGAAGCCATTTTCCTATGAGAGAACAGATTGAACACTGAAAAATCAGTGGAGACTTAAGTATGCTGAATTAGAAACAAAGAAACTTTGGTTTAAATAATGCAGGCAGTTAATCTGTGTGGTTTCCCTACTTTATCCTGTGCATCCTCATTATCTTTTTCTGTCTCTAGTTCAGACCCTGAGCAGCACGCCCAATGACAATATGCCGTGTTTTGCAGTGTATAATGTGCATGTGTCTGCTCATGTTTTTGAGGGAAAAACATTGCACATAATGACTACGTACCGCGGGTGTAAAAATGGGTGTATCCCAAGGATGTTCATGAAAATGAGGGTGGTGCATTATACACGGCAAAATACGGTAATGTAAACTACATATGTAATTTAATTTTTCAGTGGCCACAATTTTAAGAGGAAAATAGAAATAGGCAAAATTGATTTTTGAAATATATTTATCTGAAATACTATGCTTTCAATATGAAAATTATTAATGAGGTATCTGACATTTTGGGGGGGTATCAAATCTTTAAAATCCAATGTGTATTTCGTACCTACAGCATATCTTCATTCAGACTAGCTGCATGTCAACAGCTCAGCTGTCCCAAGGGACAAGTGGCCACCATGCTGGACAGAAGCGTTGGTAGCTAGGGAGCCCCCTTTGCCCCTCTTTCTTTTTCAGTTGTCGGCACTGAAGCATGTGCACGTGCTTGGCATGCGTAAACCGTGCTACGCTGAGCATCGTGAGGACTCACAGTGAAGGCAGATGGAGTCGAAGTCGGCACTTCGGAGCCAATGAGAAGTTTGTTGATTGTTTCTATTACAGTTCATGTTCCTTTTGATCATAGTTTTTAAAAAAGAGTATGGATCGGACATTGTGTTTAATTTATGGCTTATCGGTATGGAGCATCCTCAGTGAAAACTACCTCTGAGATCAGCCAGCCTTTGACAAGTGAAGAAACTGAGCCTGGGAAAAAGTAAGTTACCTAAAGCTACCCGACCTCTTAGTGCCTGGGCCTGCGCTGGAATGCAGACACTGTGCTTTTCATGCTATACATTTCCAAACAACCAGCAGACGGATTAGAAAACTGGTAAAATAAAATGTTTAAATGTTCACCTAGTAAACATTTGCTCTGAGTGTAGCAAGCTCCAGATTCTGGAGTTAGAAAGGCCTTCACATCTAGTGTGATAAAGGCCAACAAGTAAAGCCCGCACATCTCTGAAAGGCAGCGGAGACCCGAGGGCTCTGCAGCGTCTGGGAGTCAGCTGTTTGAGTATCTCTGGCTCCAAAGGTCAACTCAAACCAGCCGGGGGAGTTTTGCATTTGAAAGGTGGCCCAGGAAAGCCAGCTTCTGCCTGTTAGGTGTGGAGTCATCTTGTGAGACACGCTGCAGCCCCAGGGAGGGAACATTCTGTTCCTCCGGTCCTCTTCCTGCCCCTCCCTCCCGCACTCGGCCCGCAGGCACTTTGCTCCCTGCCGCTCCCTTCCGGGGGTCTTGCACAAGCCCCCACCAAGGAGGCACTCCGCTGTGAACGCACTCGCACCTTCGAGCAAGCACGCCTATTAGGATCCCGCACTTAGTAGGCATCTTCTTGATACGCATTCAACTTCTAAAAAGAGGAAACAAAGGAAAAACCTAACAGATTCAGCTCTAGGAAGATGAAAAAATTTTTAAACTACAATAAAGAGAGCAGACTAAGAAAATGTTTACAATGAAAGAGTTCATTCAAATGCAAGAGAAAGATCAAGCTCTTTGTCGTTACAGAGGCAAAGGCTATTGAAAAAAGAAATATAAATCATTAACAAGTGTATGGGAAAAATTCAACATTACTGGCAATTAAGTAAATTCACGTTTTAGCCCTGGCTGGGAGGCTCAGTTGGTTAGTGCCTCATCCTGTAGACCAAAAGGTTGCAGGTTCAAATCCTGGTAAGGGCAAGTATGGAAAACAGATCGATTTATCTCTCTCATATAGATGTTTCTCTTTCCCTTCCTTTTTCTCTCTCTAAAATCAATTAAATATATATATATATCCATCCTTAGGTGAGGATTAAAAATATGTATTTTTTGGTGTGCCACAGAGTTTTAGTAATTATTTTACGTGTGCCATGAGGTGAAAAAAGTTGAAAATCACTGATTTAGAACAAGAGGACCACTAAAAAAATAAAACCTACTTACCCCATCTCTCATGAGTCGAGAGATTAACATGCTGGTTGCCTGGAAAGCACCAGCTCTAACCGCACGTCTCTGCGCTCACAGGGGTTTCCTTTCAGTAACTGGGGCAGTTCCTACACGTGAACTGGTCGGGATTTCCTGCAGACCCCGCCTAGTTGTAGTGTGTTTGACAGTTCACAGGCGCTCAGGGAAGTGTTTTTAAATGTTTTAGCTTCCCTGCTAAGGTAAAGTAGTCTTGTCATTGTATTATATGATATGATAGGACATACGAGACAAAATGAAAGACATTATCTAAGGAATTTGTGTCTCCGGTGGCTTCCGGGCCTTAGCCAGGGCCGCACCTGTGGCGAGGGGGAGACCAGGGCTCAGACCTCAGCTCCAGTGCCAGTTCACTCTCTGTCCGTAAACTCCCCTTTGTTGGGTACATTCTCTGCAGAAGACCCTACCCGAGCCTCAGGTGCATGAGGCAGGGGTCTCCTCCTGTGTGGATTGTGGGTCCCATCGCCTGCCCCTGGTGCTTAAGGACCTGAGGTCCCTGGGGTGAGGACTTTCTTCTCAGGCACATTCTCATGGCTTTTAAGAACAATTGTTGTCTCGCAAATGCTGAAAGCAGACAACAGAATATTGCCCTGCCCACCTACCAGGTCTCCTGAGAGCCCAGCCATCCTTAGCACCTCCTGTGGGCAGCGGGAACAGGAGGAAACAACAGTAAATGTGGAGGAGGAAGAAAGATGAGAAGCAACAAAAGAAGTAAGGCAGGCAGGGAGAAAGGAATTCACGCAGATAATGGTGAGGAAGGATGGATGAGGAGATTACAAGTCCCATTACTGATAGACTGATCTTATTCCCCCCCTTAGGGCATCTGTTTAAGATGCTCTAACGTCAAGCTAAGTCTAACTGTCATTGATCACGTAATTAATGGAGATGTAATACGCTTATTCGGGGAAGTTAGGCAGTACTGCTGCTAATGGTAATCACAGCAAGTACTGAGTCCTTGTTTGCAGACTGTTGTAGGTGCCAAGTCACTGATCTCACCCTCACCCTGTCCTGGGCTGCAGGGGGCAGCAGTAGAGGAGTGACCCCGGCTGAGAGGGGTGAAGTCACTTGCTGAGTCACACAGGTAGTGAGCACTGCAGCCCAGAATCGAACCCAGGTCCGACTGCCTTAGAGGTACCACATACTTGGTCCAAAAGTGTTCATCAAACTTACTGGGCACATTTACAGTGTGAGGAAATGATGGGTATTTTCCAGTTGGAGTTTGGGGTCAAGGACAAGCAAATGTGGACAAGACCCAGGACCACAGAGCAGCGCCTCCGGAGGGGTGTCTGGGTTCTGAGCATTTGGTCGGGAGTGGGGAAAGTGAGAAGGAATGCTGTCAAGGGTCCACCTAAAGCTGTGAAATGCCTCTTCTCTTCATCCTGTGGGCCACCAGAGGCCACTAGCACAGTCATGAGGCTGGGCCATTTCCCCAAAATGAATGGTTCAAGAGGAAGTTCATTCATTTCAGCGCACGGTGAGAAAGCCCCAGTGTGGCCTGTTGCAATGTCCCAACTTGGAAAAGTAAGGCCTCCTGGGAACAGGACCGCATGTCAGGGCGCCAGGAAAGGCAGCTGGAGGAGGCTGTGAATGGGGTGTCACACAAACTTGTTCCCATCCTGTCTCTGACGGACATCATCAACAGCCTAAAACCTGCCTAAGGACTCTGCGCAGGCAGAGTGTGCTGTGTGGGCACACACGCGAGTTTTTACGCCTCCCCGAGAAGCACACTCCAGAATGCTCAGAGACGGCTTTCCATCCCACTGAGGTCCAGGCGGTCACCCCATTTATCATTAAGAGGCTGAACTGTTGAGTACCACTGATCACTGTCTGTGTCCTAAAGACTAGAGCAGGCGTGGGAATCACCGGCCCGGCCCAGGCTTGCGTGTGGGCCTCTGCTCGGAAACGTCTGCTTCCCCTACACAACCGGAAGAAAATACGTCATGTCATCTCTCAGACGCCTCACCGGGGTCAGGCTGAGTTAGAAAGCAGAGCTGCAGGAAGCCAAGCTGAGTGCAGAGGGGGAGCTTGTAGTAAACCCACTCTCTGCAGCAGGGCCCCGAACAAAGTGCCAAGACACTGAGACTTAGGACTGCATCCAGTTCTAAACATCTATAATCACTGAAGCCGTCTATAAGCTCCAAAGACAGCAAAATGTTAAGATACCTGCCACACGTACAAAAGTATTTTCTATCCAGAATATTCCAAAAGTTCATACAAGTCAGAAAAAGGGTAGGAAAATGAGCAAAGAATATAAGTAGGCAACTCCCTAAATGAGGCTTGCCCGTGGTCAATAAGCATATAAGACGCTTTGCCTCACTGGCAGTCAAGGACACAAGAATTACACAAGATAAACTAGGTGTGCATTTTGAACCCAACAGAGTGGGGACATGAGGAGATGGCTGTAACCTAGTGTTAGTCAGCTGTGCGTGGGGTGGGGGCGGTCTCATCCTCTCACACCTGGTGATGGGAGCATGACTCAGAAGACCCACTCAACTAAAAATGTCCTGCGTTGTGAAGAACCATGCATGATGGTTACCTGTAGAAATGACCTGAATATCCATCAGTTCAAAGTGGCCTCACATTCCACAGCGTTTGCACACAGCACCATATATGGCATGTTGCACTCTTTAAAATGCCACTTTACCTTCCACTGGGTGAAGGAAAAGCGGGAGAAGTACCATGTAGTATTTATACGTATAAAAAACCCCTTGTTTACCAAGAAACAATGTCTGTTTTCTATGGCTATATTCAATAGCTATGTGCTGTATGTAAAACAATAACAGTGATTACCTCAGGGGAAGAGGTGGGGGTGGGGGTTGGGGAGAGGAGTTCTGGGGACTCGGCCTTGATAAGGCGGAGAGCTCAGGACTGGGATATAAAGATAAGGACGGATGGACACCAGCTGCGGAGGCGCCATGTCCAAACCTGAGTCCTCAAGGAGGCCCCTCGCATGGTCCTGGCCTTCTGAGGCCTAATAAAGCGCATTTTCACTTGGGAATTCCTGAAAAAAGTTTCTTGCTGGTGGCGCAACCCCTTACTTTTCACAATCAACCTTGAACAGCCAGAAATTTGTCATGTTAGGAAACTTGGCGGGCAGTGGCGGTGGCGATCAATTGTAAGCAAGGAACCTGCAAAAATGTATACCTACCTTTTGCAACACAACAAACATCTAAATATAGCTGCATCTCATAGCAAATCTTGTTGCTTCTGTTGCCATGACAACGTTAAGAAACATGAAGCCCTAGACTGCGCTCTGCGCTGTGGATTCTACAGATGGGTCAGAGATGTGCTTGAAAATACATATATAATATATAAACATATGTACTTATCGAGTAAGTAAAAATTGTCAGGGAAACTGTAAATTCCCATTTCGAGGTAAAGGACGATGGAGCGTACTTACCCAGCCTCCGTTTTGCCGTATCCACTCTCCCGTGTGCGTCGTGATGAACTCGGCCACGAAGCGAGCGATCTCCTGGTGAGCATCCGCGTCCGCAACCACGTCCGCCTGCGCTGCGAGCAGCTTCTTGACGAGAATCCCCTCGAAGGCGAACACGGTCACGATCCGGCCCCAGTTGACCACGCCGTCCTCGAACTCCTTCTGCATGACGGCGCGGAACAGCGCGCGGGCGGCGTCCACCGACTGCACGTCCAGGGTGTCCAGGCACAACCGCAGACTCGTCTCCACCTCCTCTTGGACCGGGAGGGCCACCTCCCGCAGCAGCTCGGCGACCCTGCCAGGCTGGGCCCCCGGCGGGCTGGCCTGCAGGACATGCTCCAGGTAGTCCTGGGCCAGCGCGCGCACGTAGTCGAACTCGCCGTCGGTCATCTCGGCCAGGCTGCAGCCCCGTCGCGAGCAGCTTCCCGACACAGCGGCGGAGGCGATCTGAGGCCCGAACTCGAAGCGCAACCCCAAGGGGCGTGACCCACAGCGACGTCTGCGAGGGGTGGAATTTCTGGCCGCCCCCGTGTCACGTGGAGGCAGCCTATAAAAGTAACAGTTCAAAACCGCCTGTGAGAGGCCCACTTCCCCATCCGGGCAGGGCTTGGTTAGCTGGGCGCGCAGTCTGAATTAATGGCCGGGGTGCACAGAAACGGGGACAGCCCCCCCCCCCGCCCCCGCGGCTGGTGGGACGGAGCCGGTCCAGCCCCCGGGAGAGCCTGGCAGCTGCTCAGGAACTTGAGAGAAATTACTTCTCTGCCCAGCAATTCCCCTTCTCGGTGTCATGCGCCCAGAAGAACTGAAAACGGGGACTCAGATGCTTAAATGAAACACCAGCGGCCGCAGCAGCTCCATGCCCAACGGCCGCGAGGCGGGAACCACCCCAGTGGTCGTCACCAGAGGGATGGGTGAACAAACCAGGGAACAGTTATTCAGCCATAAAAGGAAGGCCACGTAGTGGGTGAATCTCAAGAACTCGGTGCCAAGTGACAGAAGCCAATGTGGGGAGGGGGGAAATTCCAGCACAGTAGATCAGCAGAGACAGAAAGCAAGCTGGTGTCTGCCAGGGAGGGGCTGAGGGCAGGGAGGGGCGTCAGCTGCTCCCCAGGTACAGGGTTTGGTTTTTGTGACAGAAATGTTTGGGAATGACTCCGAAGTGGTGTTTACACAACATTGTGAATACACCAAACATGGTCAGCTCCTCACTTTAAAATGAATCATTCCCCATGATGTGACTGTCATCTGTAGAAAAAAAGGTCTTCATTGGCGCCCCGGGGCTCGAAACTAGATGAGTGAACACAGAGAAGGCTGGTCAGCGAGCCCCTGGGGGCAAGATTCTGGCAGTGCCTCGTGCTTGGGCAGGACAATAGGGGGAGCGGAGGGGGGGAGATCCAAGTGTCCCCTGTGATCCTCACCTCTCATGGACTGGGCAACTTCTGACAAAAGTTCCACTCTAAGCCAGTGTGTGGCTCATTCAACATATGGACCAAACTGCTGGGCACTTGGTCAGGGGGAGAGGACCCTACTGGGTCCCAGCCTAACCCCCGGTCCCTCGCTCACTGTGTTCCCCCGGGGTCTGGACAGTGAGACACACTGACCTCAGGGCGGGAGGCGGCCTGTGGCACCCCCAACGGCCCCCACAACACTACCATCCAGTTCCCCATCATCCTCTTAGGGGCTAATGACAAGGCACCGGGCCCCTGGTGAGAGCGAAACCTCTGTAATGAAGTGGTTTGAAGTGAAATGCAAATGTGCATTGTGATGAGCTACGGTGGCAGTTCTGGGAAACTGTAAGGATGGTGAATTTACCAGCTGAGAGGAGCAGCGAAGATTGTGGGCAGGAAGCAAGTCGCTGGCACGGTCAGCTGGCTGCTTCCTCCTGTCTGCTGAAGGGGCAGTGTGTGTGTGGGGGGGGGAGTCAGGGTCCCTGGAGAGGTGATAACCACTTTTTTTCCCCATCCACATGTAGAGCGACCGATTCTTTGCATTTGGGTCTAGGAACAGCTGCAAAGAGCAATGGCAGGGAGTCACCTGTAGGTGGTATTTCTGAACAATGGCCAATGCTACTTTGAGTGCCAACTCACAGGGATCTGGTGGCCCAGCAAATGCAACCACTCCTCTCAGATGTCCTACTGTGGGAATGTAACTGAGAAAGCAGCCCCCGGCCCTGCTGCAACCCCCACCCCACCCCAGTCGACCACAAAACAAGGTGTGGGTGCTAAGAGCGGTTCCTGTAAGTCATCCATCCCCTTTGCCAGTCACCTCGGAACCCATGACTGCCCACGACCCACTGCTTTGTGGAAGCTTCCTAGGCAGCAGCCTCCCTTCTTAACTTTTGTGTTGTCTCCAAGGTCAGCCCTGCACAGGGGTCTGCCAGCCTCCCAGCCTTTTCCACTCCCCCTCCTCACTCTCCCGCAAGGGCACTTCCCCCATAAGTCTCCCCCCCCACACCTCCTCCTCTCCGGCTGTTTCCTTGGAGTGCAGAGCTGCAAAGAAGCACAGAGACCCAGGTGGGGGGGTGGGGGGTGTGCAAGCTTTCCCCAGCGTGGCCTGAGAACCGCCAAAGGGTTGGGAAGTTTCTCTTCTCCCCCATGACATTCCCACGGGGATGAGTGTTTCTAGAAAAACAGTAGAAGCATGTGCTTTCAAAGCTGAGTGTGGTGTTCCCAGGTCCGAGTCAGTCTTCTTCCTCTGTGTCCCAGGGCCTGAGCCCGGATTCCGGAAGGGCGGGGAGCTGACCGCCGTAGGGTGCCTGGGACCCACACCCATCCTGCCTGGGAACAGCCACGTCTAGGGCTCTATATGCCTGACCCCTTGGATCCAAACACAACTCGCTTTAAAATTTCTAAATGGTGTGTGGCCTGCTTTAGTTTATTTTGGAGAGTTTCCAAATAAATGCTTTTCGAGGACAGGTGAGAGGAAAACTAAGTACTTTCCAAAAAGAACGATTTTTCCGTTTCTAAAGCACACACCGACTGGAGAGGAGTGAAGTGTGGGACCCAGACAAGAGGCCGACTGCGACCAGGCGGGAAGACAAGTGTCTCCTTTCTCAACATAACCTGTCCTCTGAGCCTCCACGGCCAGGGTCCCCATCCCCGGGGTCCACAGGTAGAATTTGGATGAAGTTAGGGGTCCCCCCAAGCACCCTCTGGGGGAGTCAGCCAGAGTGGTGAGGTATGGAAATCGTGTGTGTATTCAGCTATTCCACAAGCACATGCAAAGCTGGGATGAAGCACCAGGGACCTTGAGATGTGGGAGAAAGGTCTGCCCCTGCACAGGGAACACTTGAGGGAAGGTGCTGCGGGACAGTGTCCACATGGGGACCTGCCGGGACGTGAGTGGCCCCGGCAGGGACGGCAGCTCTGTGGGCCCCAGTATCTGCGGCTGGAATGGCTCAGGCAGTTGGGGCAGGAGCTGGGGGGACTGGCCGGGCAGCTCGCACCGCAGGATCTTGCTGCGTGTCTCCGCTGCCCAGCAACCTCGACCCGGTCACACCTGTCCCGTGATGGCTTGTGCCCACAGTACTGGCAGCAATAGCCGCACGCCTGCCCTCCTTCAAGGAGAGGAGAGGTGGACCATTCTCACTGGTAAGAAGTATCAAAGATTCTGCAGCCGAGTTTTAAAACTGCTGCAATGTGCCACTCACAGCCCCGTGCACAATTTAATCAACACTATCCTGTACCATCCCTCGGATGGGTAAGGCAGGGAGGCCCTCAGTCTTGGGGTGACCACCTACCCCTCCTCCTACCAGGTTACCACGGGCTGGGCCCCTGGACTGGAACCCTCTCAGGACACAGTGTCCTGAATGCGTCCAGCTGAGACTGGGAGAGCTCTCGCTTTATCCGCCTCCCAATCACAGGGCTCTGTCATCCGTCCACCCCCTGCTCTGGCCGGGGAGCAGATAGCAATGGCCAGCTAAGGGTCAGTACTGATGGGGACTCTGAGGGAAGGACCCCGACACTTCCGAGCCCCATGAGCAGCCAGAGGGTCCCAAGCTCCCAGATGGGACTCCTGGGGCGCCTGACCTCCGGGAGATGCCGCTGAGGTCAACTACCCCTTTCCCCAAAGGCAGAACTTGGGCGGAAACTCCTCGGGCTTTTGACTGCTTCAGAGGAGGTGGCTCAGGGGAACTCCCGGCTCCTCTGAGCCACTTCTTATGCCAAGGCCCTGGGCCAGGGCGAGTTCTCTGCAGGGAACAAAGGTCGTCAATGGTAACACCATGCAGTGGGGGGCAAGTCTGCTTCTCACCGAGAGCACCAGGGGAGACCAGTCGCCCGGGGGGGCGCTCCATTTCTATCCAAGAAGACCATTCCCATGGATCCATGACCAAAAGATCACATGGCATGTCCCTCAATTCTCCTGCTGTATTTGGGAGCAAGGCTTATGTATGTGGATACCAAGGGAACCGGGGGCAGGGACACAAGGGTGAGGTGTCAAAGTATAGCCGCCTGGGGTAGGGTTTTTAAATGAAGGTCACTGAGGTCACCAGGGAGATGGTGGAGTAAAGAGAAGGGAAAACCCCAGGATTGGTCCCAGGGGGTAAAAATCACACAGGGCCCCACATGAGACAGAGTGCCTGGCTTGTCCCTCACCCCGCCCACCCGGTGACCTTTATAGGAGCACCCACTGTTCATCCCACTCAGCAGCTCAGGATCCCCCAAGGGCTCCCCGTGGCCCGTGGGGAGCCCCAACGCCCCGCAGGGTGGAAGGATGATCTGCTCAGGCTTGACCCACACCCAGCTCCGTCCCTGTGCTCAGCTCCCTGCCCCGCTGTGGGCTCTGTCCCAACTCTGGAAGCTGGGTCTTCCCGATGTCTCTAACTGGACCGGCTTCTGTCATTCTTGTGTCCCCAGATCTCAAGGGGCAAAGGCCCCTGCAGGAGTCACCTGAACAATTCATTTGGGGGTGCACCTGATACCACAGCCCCTCCACGGGAGGCCCCCTCCGCGGGGCTCCAGGCCACCCCTCTCCTGGGGACAGGGCGGCCTCACTTATCTGTGGTTACTTCCAGAGGCCCATCGCTGTGGAGCTGGCCCCAGAGAGAGGTCACCAGCGTCCTGTTATCATCATCACTTCCAAGAAGGTGGCATGTTTTACAAATGGGCTACTTCACCATCAGACTGATACCGGGGCTGTCTCCATACTAATTTTTCTCTTAGGTTTTGGTCTGCAAAGCCAATGCAACATTTTCTTTTGTTTTCCTAAATGCCACCTGAGGGGGAAGTGCAAAAGAAGAGCCTCATCTGAAGAGGCCCTTCAAGCCCTGTGGGCAAAGGGCCTCGGACTTTCCACCGCCCGAAACCAAAGGGCAGAGATGGAACACGAAGAAGAAGTATGCTTGCTGCTTGGTGATGAGCGAAACCAGGACCCAGTGGGACAAGCTAGGCTGAGAGCTGAGAGCTCAGAATGCCATGCAGAGCAAAGAGCAGAGGCCACAGCCAGTCAGCCACCTCCACGGAGCCCGTGCATAGGCCAGGGGCCTTGTTCCTGACCACAGGTCGCCCG